AAGCACAGGGGAGTTTTCACTTTTATGTAGAAAATCACATAGGGGTTAGGGCCACAAGCCAACAGGCCAAAGGGAAGGAACAGGTTAAAGGTAAAGAAACATCACTACTGTCGTAACATACACTCAGCACCTTAATTTCCTCTCCACACCTCCAGAAGTGTCCCCAAACAAGCCTTTAGTCCCTACAGCACTCAAACAGCAGCCTGCAGCTGCCCCCAAGCCTGAGTCCAGCTTTTTCAGTCCACAGTCCCAGCTCACCAAGCCAGTAAAATCTCCAGCTCCACTATGCACTTTGTGTAGGGCTGACCAGGGTCCATGTGCACACTGCTCTCTCTTCTCCCTACTCCAGCCTCAAGCATCATCTTCCTTTTTCCCTTGCCTCCCAGCCCCTGGGGTTTCTGAAAGCTGCAGTCCAAATTAACAGATCAAAAGCCTAGCTCAGGGGTTTTCAACCTTTTTTAATAAGTGTACCCCCAGTGGTCCCCTTTTTAATGTGTACACTGGGGGAGGGGGTGGCAAACAGCTGGACACTGGGCAGGGGGGCAAGCAAGGTTGACAAACCCTGGCCTAGCTAAAATCAAGGTATACCACCTCCACTGGTCTCCCCATATCCACAGAGCTGGTCATCTCATCCTAGAAGGCAGTCACATTGGTCAGGCATGACTTACCCTCGGTGAATCCGTGCTGACTGTTCCTAATCACCTTCTTCTCTTCCAAGTGCTTAGAATCAGATTCCTTAAGGATCTGCTCCATGATTTTTCCAGGGACTGAGGTGAAGCTGACTGGTCTGTAGTTCCCTGGATCCTCCTTTTTCTTAAGTATGGGCACTATGTTTGCAAGCGAGCAAGTGCTGTGGATGCAGGGAAAGCAGTGGACATGATATAACTTGACTTTAGCAAGGATTTTGATACGGTCTGCAACAACATTTTTGCAAGCAGTTAAGGAAATATGGGTGGGATGAATGGACTGTAAGGTAGACAGAAAGCTGGTTGGATCGCCGGGTTCAACAAGTAGTGTTCAATAGCTTGAGGTCTAGCTGGCAGCCAGGATCGAGTGTAGTGGCCCAGGAGCTGGTCCTGGGACCAGTTTTGTTCAGTATCTTCATTAATAATCTGGAAGATGGGATGGAGTGCACTCTCAGCAGGTTTGTGGGTGACACCAAGATGGGGGTGGGGGGCGGGGCGAATAGTAGATATGCTGCAGGACAGAGCTAGCATTCAGAGTGGCCTTGACAAATTGGAGGATTCAGCCAAAAGAAATCTCAAGAGGTTTAACAAGGGCAAGTGCAAAGTTCTGTACTTAGGGCAGCAGCTCTGGAGAAAAGGACCTGGGGGTTACAGTGGACAATAAGATGGGTATGAGTCAGCAGTGTGCCCTTGTTGCCAAGAAGGTTAACAGCATACTGGGCTTGTATTAGTAGGAGCATTGCCAGCAGATCAAGGGAAGTGATTATTCTGTTCTATTCTGCACTGGTGAGACCACATCTGGAGTACTGTGTCCAGTTTTGCCCATCCCAATAAAGAAAGGATGTAGACAAGCTGGAGAGAGTCCAGCTGAGGGCAACGAAAATGGTTCAGGGGCTGGGACATGACTTCTAAGAAGAGTCTGAGGGAACAGAGCCTATTTAGTCTGCAGAAGAGAAGACTGAAGGGGGATTTAATAGCAGCCTTCAACTACCTGAAGGAGGGGGTCCAAAGAGGATGGGGCTGGACTGTTGTCAGTGGTGGCAGACAACAGAATGGAATGGTCTCAAGTTGAAGCAAAGGAAAATTAGATCGGATATTAGGAAAAACTCTCTCACTAGGAGTGTGATAAAGCACTGGAACCTAGAGAGGTGCTGGAATCTCCATCCTTAGAAGTTTTTAAGACCTGGCTAGACAAAGTCTTGGGTGGGATGATCTAGTTGTGGATGGTCCTGCTTTGAGCAGGGGTTGGACTAGATGTGACCTTCTGAGGTCCCTTCCATAGATTCATAGATTGTAGAGTCGGAAGGGACCCCGAAGGATCATCGTGTCCAACATCCTGCCCCAGGCAGGACAAGGACCGAGGTCAGATGGCCCCAGCCAGGTGCCTATCTAGCCTCCTCTTGAAGACCTCCAAGTTAGGTGATAATACCACCTTTCTTGGCAGCCCGTTCCAGATTCTGGCCACCCTTACTGTGAAAAATTTCTTCCTAATGTCTAACCTGAATCTACTCTCCACTAGTTTGTATCCATTATTCCTAGTTACTCCTAGGGGTGCCCTGGTAAATAGCACAACTCCAACTCTCTGTTGTCCTCCCTTGATAAAGTTATAGGGTGCTACAAGGCCTCCCCTCAGACCTGGAGGAGGACCTGGATTTTCTCCTAGAAAAATTTCTAAGCAGAAATTCCCTAATTTCCTAAACTGAACAGGATTCCAGGTGAGCCCTCACCAATGCTGAACAGAGTGGAAGAATCACTTCCCTTAATTTGCAAGTGAGACTCCTGTTAATAGAACCCAGCCTGCTGTTGGCCTTTTTTTTTTTTTTTTTGCAAGAAAAGGACTCATATTCAATTTATGGTCTGCTGTAACTGCCAAGTCCTTTTTCTGGAGTACTGTAGCCTAGCCAGTCACTTCCCAGTCTGTGTTCATACATAGTTATTCTATCCTAAATGCATGACTTTGCAGTTTGCCTTACTAAATTTCAATTAGGACATAAAAAATTTAAAATATTTCAATTTAAATAAGTATATTTATTTATTTTTGTTTATTTTAATACATATTTATATATGTATTTATTTTTGGACCATTTCTCCAGTTAATCTGGGCCATTCTGGATCCTAGTCTGTTGTATTCATCTAAGTATAGCCAGAAATAAAATGACTCAAGTCACTAGCGGAAGCAAGAGTGCTGCCATACTGGCCAACACTGAATATATTTTGAACATAAAGCAAAACTAGGAATTAGTTGCCATCAGCAGATTCAACAAACAAATATTTAAGCTTAGATTCTCATGTGCACATTCAATTACCATATTAAAATCTCGTATTTCCCTGCCCTCTAGGGCAGGGGGTCTCAATCCCTGGGCCGTGGCTTGGTGCTGGGCTGCAGCGGGTCGACTGCTGGTCAGCTGCATGGTTGGCTGCCAGACTGGAAGTGGCCGTGGACCAACAAACTGCGGCCCCCCCCAGAGCTGGGTGGAGAGGCCGTGGCTCCTTCCACAGGGCCTGCAGCAGCGCAGGGTTTGGCACACCCCTCCACCTGGGGGGCGGGGGTATCCTTACCTGTCTTCCAACTGGAAATTCCAGCTGCGGTCAGCTGTGACTGCTGGGCCGCAACATAAAAACTTCAGGAACCCCTGCTCTAGGGTATCTGCAACTCTACCCAACTTGGTGCCATCTGCAAGCTTGCTAACAGTGCATCCCATTCTCCAAATCAGGGTTGAGAAACTCACCTTGTGACCTGGACTGAATCTGGACCACAGGGCTCCTTATGGGCCTGATCCAACCCAGGGCAGGAGAGGTAGCGGCAGCAGCTGGTCTGGCTCTGATTTTGAGCTTGTGGTAGCAGCAGTTCTGGCTTCAGCTCTGACCTGGGACACAACTGTGACTCTAGCCCCTACCATACGCCTTGTGCTGGAGCTAGAGAAGCTGCTGCTGTGTGTCCTCTGCAGGGTCAGGAGCTCCAGATCCAGCATAGGGCATCCAGCAAAGGCTAGCATCTGGGGAGGTAGGGTTGCATAAGTGGCGACAGGCAAAGCAGCTGCAGGGTGACCAGAGCTGTCAGCCCTCACTTGCCCTCCTGCTGCTGAATGCCAAGCTGGTTCTGGATTCTGTGGCAGCCCATGTCCCTGGCCTCATTCCCCAACTTTCAGTGGCCCAATGAGATCCTGGCAGGCCAGATAGAGGCTCCTGGGCCAGATCCAGCCCATGGGCCATATACTTGACACCGCTTTCCAAATCATTAATGAAGGTGCTGAAATGACACCTGACCCAGGACAGACTCCTGGGGAACCCCACCCAGTACCTTCCCGCAACTAGATGGTGAGCCATTGACGACTACTCACTGAGCATGATGGCTCAACCTATGCATCCACCTTACAGTACTCCCATCTAGTCTTTGTTTCCTTTGCTTCTTGAGAGTGTCACCAGAGACTGTCAAAAGCCTTGCTACAACTAAATCACATTACGTTCACTGCTCTTCCTCCCATCCACAGAGCCTGTCATCTTATACATGGGAATCAACCCATTCTGGCTGTTCCCGAGTGACCACCTGATTCTTCTTCAGAGAAAGCCAAAGGACAGCAACAAAAATGACAAGGGAGGAGAAAAGGCTGTAGGAATTGGGTGTCCGCCTGGTTTGACAAAAGAGAAGATGGTGTCAGGGGAACACGTAGAATAAGCCTCCCAAAGCCTAAAACGTTTTGCCCGGTGGGCTGGATTGGCAGTGCCGGGTCCACCTGCAGGCCGGATCCAGTCAGTGCTGGGCTGCCACAGCAAACACCAGCCAGCCATGCAGCGGTGCGGCCTCGCCACGACGCAGCCTCGGAGGACTGGAGCTTGACCCGGGCGTGGCTCGGCTAGGGGCGCGGCCAGGCCCCAAGGTGGCCCTGCAGGGGGGAGGGCAGTGGCCTGGCCCCAACCCAGAAGTGGGGGCAAGGCTCAGCCCCCAGGGAAGGGGGTGTAGCAGGGACTGGGGCATTTGGCGAGGGCAGGGGGAGGCCGTATTCATGGCCACGGCTCCCGCTGCCAAATTTCCGGCCCGGCAGGGGGCCGCACTTGGCCCGCGGGTTGGAGGCTGAGCTCTAGGGCGGAGGTAACGAGCGCTCCGCTCCCAGGAGCGGCCCGGGCTACGCCTCAGCCTCTAGACTCGGGCCGAGCCGCGCCGCTAGGGACAAGCTAGCGAAGTCCGTGCAGCTACAGCGTCCCGCGCGGGGCGGGGGGTAAGGTCCGGCTCTGTGACCCCAGCAGCAGCTAGAGGGGCTGCCGATTGCCGGCCGCTCTTGGCTCATGACGCGCTAGTCGTCGGCGCTGGCGGACCGGCAGGAAGTGCTATCCCAGAGTTCCGCGCGGGCCCCGCCTTTCCGCCGGGGCTGCCATCCGCGGGCGCAGGTGAGGAGGGAGCGGGCGCGCGAATCCGTGTCCATCGGGCGCGGGCCGGGGGCCGGCGGGCGGCAGTGGGGCGGGCCGGGGCTCGGACCGGGCTGACGCGCTGCGCTGTCCCCACAGACATGGCGATCCGCTACCCCATGGCCGTGGGCCTGCACAAAGGCCACAAGGTGACGAGGAACGTGTCGAGGCCGCGGCAGTGCCGCCGCAGAGGGGTGAGTCTCGCCGGGGGCCGGGCATGGGCGGTGGAGTGTGGGGCCGGGTCCCTGCGGGCTCGTGGCGGCTCCGGTACAACTCCCCGAGCCGAGCCGAGCCGAGCCGAGCGCGTTGAAGCGCCGGGGGGGGGGGAGCTCCGCCACTGCTCGGCAAAGGGAGGCGCACCAGCCTGGATAAGTCGCTCCCCTTTCTTGCGAAGACCGGGGATCAGGGCACGTAGGGAGGACGTGGGTTTGTGTCTGGGTTTTTCCCGCTGTTCTCCAAGGGGGGTACGTTAGAGAGGTGGTCGCTGATCCTGTCATCGATTAGCGAAATAATTGAAGTAGCAGTACAGTGATGAGGGATAGCGAAAGCCTGGTGCAAAGGGTGAAACTATTGGCAGCGCATGTTGAAGCTGCTGCAGAAGCAAGGACTCCTCACAGAAGAGGCCCAGGGTGCTCGTACAATTGCTGCCCGCTATTACAATCCTCACAGTGCGAACAAGTAAAAGGTGTAGGTGTTTATACTGGGATAAGGAACCCGGACATGCAGAATTTGAGTGTTGGAGCTAGAATGCAGAACAGGCTGTTGTTCCTGATCCACTTGCTTAACAGGTTCCCTACCACCACTAGGTTATCAATAACTTCACTGAACCTGCTATGAGGTATTGCATATTGGCATGCTCAGAATATTTTTGGATTAATTTTAGGGGGCTTAGTTGCAAACTGACCCACTTGAAGTAAGCCTGGACCCTTGGGTTAGCTGCACCCTTGTGCATCTACCTGTAATAGTCTCTCAGTGCTGCATGCTGAATTGTAGAAATAGGGGACATCCTAGTTGGTGATGAAAGCAACTGATCTTTGGGACAGTTGGAAAACCAGAGAAGTCTAACTTTTATGTTGCTCATTTGTTACTGCTGAGTAGCATTGTGACATCAGCAGTTACTTAGCCAGTTGAAAAACGTGCAAAACAAACCGCAGGTAACAATCGAAGTTTACTAAGTGTTCTGGGGAAAAGGGAAGCTCAGAACTGGAAGAACAAGTGTTGTTTGAGATAAGGGTTTAATGAGGTTCTCCTTCTACATTATACCTGGCTCAGGCACTCTTGAACTGTGTCCACTTGAATGCGGCAAGCAGATACTTGCACGTGCAATGTGAAACAAAGAATTGCAACTGGCTGAGTTGCTCTGAGCTCAGCTCTTGCCACAGTTACTCCTCAGCGCTCCTTTACACACAGCATGCATGAGGCCCAAACCAGTGCCACAGCTGAAGGTTACTGAAAAACCTGTTTTCTTCCCCCTCCTCTCAAAAGCTTCTGACAGTTCTGAGGTTTACCCTTCCAAAGCTGCTATGCAGACATGTGCCATAGTGAATGAAGTTGGCTTTAGGTTTGGGTGCAGCATAGTGTCTCGTACATGGCATCCTTAATGAACTGATGCTTCACTTGATGGGAATCTATTGTCTCATGGGACAGACAGATGTCACTGATACTATGGCACTCTTTTCAAACCTTGCTTCTGTTTCTGCCTCTGGTTTGTGTGTCTCTAGAGTGTGTCAGAGGTATCTGGAATGTCATCTTACTGCTGCATAACATATCTAATATGAGCGGTGGTCCGTTTAAAAACCAGGGTATTATTTTTGGAATTCACAGGTTAATACAATGTAACACGTGGAGAGAGGACTAACCAGCATAGCTGTGCTTGTGGAGACAGTTGCAGGTGCAACAAGATGTGGTCACTGACAGTTGTTGGCTAGATCAGTGGTCTCCAAAGTGGGGTACGCAAGATGATCCATTGGGATGCAGGAAGAAAATATTAGAACTTCTATTTATATTTATTTTTTATCTGAAAAAAAAGAAATTAAGCTTTACCAATATTTAATATATGGATTGACACTGGCGCCCTCACTTGGTCCGTATGTCAGATGGTCATGTGTCACATATGGTACGCAAGTAATATATGTATATAATTTATAAATAAATAAATATACATATACTGGGGGTCCATGCTCAAAAATTTTTTTACTGATGGGGTGCACGATCAAAAAAGTTTGGAGACCACTGGGCTAGATAGTGTTTGTGTAGTTGTCTCGTTTGGCAACAGAGCAGAGTGTCAGTAATAGAATTACTAGTAAATTTGTTGTGCTATACTATGTCCGGCTAAAGAGCTTGGTAACAAGTCAAATTTTAAATCCCCATTTCAAAACAAGTACTTAGGGTGTGGAGTTAGCAGCTAGTCTTAAATGATTCCTACTATTGTCACTCTTATTTTATAATTGAATTATAGTTGCCTATAATACAAAGTCTAAATGCTAGGTCTCATTAAATGACTTGTTTCAGTAGCCTATTGCATTTAGGTTATGCCAAACCATTTATCTATGTGCGTATGTTCTTTTCCTCCTTTCTCCCCCATACCCTTCAGCGCTTGACCAAACACACCAAGTTTGTACGAGACATGATCAGGGAAGTCTGTGGCTTTGCTCCCTACGAGAGGCGTGCTATGGAATTGCTGAAAGTTTCCAAAGACAAACGTGCTCTGAAATTCATAAAGAAAAGGGTAAGTGACTATAATGTATTACCCCAGGGTATGAAAGAACCTTTGTTGATTCCTCTTGCCCCATTACTCCAGGCAGAGGGTTTCACACTGCAGGAGCTGTGGTCCTGCCCTTGCTCATCACTTTAAGCAGTCACTAGCCTAGCTTGGGGGAAGAGAAAGGCAGCTATGGTATATAGCAGCTGCTGTAGTTTTGGAAGTGATGATCCAAAATCTGTTCCTCCATATTGCAAAGCTAGTGCAGGGAAGAGGAATGTGGAACTGGTGTGGTTTGATCCAGTTATTCAGGGCACTTGGAACGGTGTGGAACCTAAAACTATCCTGAAAAGTTGAGAGTAGGAGACTTCTGCCTCTTCCTAACAGTCCTACTTGCAGGGGCAGTGTAGATTTGATTGAAGGGAGAGTACCTAGGCTGGGCTTATTATCAAACTGAGACACAGTCCTTATTCAAGCCTAAGTGTGTTGTGTACACTGCAGCCCAGGCTTTCTGTCACTGACAGAATAAGACAAGGAAAAGGTGAGGACCTACTTGTGCTTCTTGTCATGGGATAATTGCTTACTGTATTGCTTTCTTCTTTACATAGGTTGGCACTCACATTCGGGCCAAGCGAAAGCGGGAAGAGCTTAGCAATGTCCTGGCAGCCATGAGGAAGGCTGCTGCCAAGAAGGATTAAACTGTACAAATTTCTGTAATTCAGTAAAGTTTGTTCAAAAAACTCCAGCAGCGTGGTGGTTTACTAGCAACTCCCAACTAGAGAGAGCATTTTCTTTAGTGACTGGGGATATTTTTCAAGCTGTACAAGACATTGAAAGACCTTCCAGAGTAACAGAAGGCATATTTTTGGTGCTTTGATAAAACGTGGAATTGAGGTGTGGGGTAATAAAAACATTGCATTTGTGAACAGGGACACAGCTCATTTTGCTGAACCTAAACTTAAAATGAAGGAAAAGCTAATTTCTTCTAAGATGTCATGCCTTTCCCATCAAAGGGACTTTACTATTCAAGGGGAAACTGAATTTAGCCCACACCATGGATAGTAAAGTTCATGGGCAAAAGGCAAACTTGTCTCACCCCAGGAGCAGTTTCTTAGTTGACAGTGTAGTTAGCTTCCCCCCTCATTAGATCACCTGTTGAGTGTCCCTTTCCCTGCTTTGTTAAAAACTCCTCAGTTCCTGTTCACAAAAGCAGCCATCTTTTCAAACCTGAGTTTGAACAGTGGCTACTGCAATGTCTTTTAAATCGGGTGAGTGGGGACAGGTAAGCAGTTGAGCAAAAAAGCTTTTATTTGTGAGGGGAGGGGAAAAGAGCAGTAGCCTCTGTTCTTGGGGTGAGACCTACTGAATCCTAACAGCCAAATGCCTTTAAAAGCAGAAGTACCTTGTGAGCCTTGCTGGAGTATGGATTAATACAGCTGCTGAGCAGTGTACATAATGATTAATAGAGGCTTAACAACATGAGCAATAGACCTCAGTAGCCAGAAAGCAGACTATATATGACCTGAGCAGACATGCTGGAAAAGTTAGAACTATTAGTTTTTGGGCACCTCTGAAGGCCAATGGTGAGTAATGGGTACAGAACACCAAAACAAATTGGAGTGACTTGATAACCACCTTCCCCCATCTCATAGAAATGTCACGTGCTGAGAACTGGATGTAAATATCACAAAGAAGTTTAGTGATTGGTGAGACCTAAGAGACCCCTGATCTTCAGAGGCATAATTGGATCTGCTGTGTGAGCTATCTGCATGATCACCCTTTCTGCCCTGCCAGATGTGTATGGCATGAGTTGCAATTATGGGATCCAGCATCAGATTGAATCACACCTTACTGCAGGTGCTGGCAGAACCTGGGATGCATGGGTAAGTAGTATGCCCTTACAGCTGGGGGCTTGCAGCCTTATATACAGCTAACAGGCTTCCATCTGTGAGAGTGTTCCCGTTGTCCCCATGGGTGGGGGACTATAGCTTTTATGGGCTCCTGGCTGTGAGGATGCACCCTGTGGCTGGAAGCCTGCCTCAGCTGTGGCGTCCCAGTCAGCAGTTAAATCCCAGGCTCGGGGGTGCACATGTTCACCTGGCTGGGAGCCCTAATCAGCTGATGGGACCCTTGGCCACAAGTTCAATTAATGTGACTCATTCCTAGCACACCAAAGTTATGTTTTATGGAATAACTCTTCGGTATTTCCTTTAATCAGTTTATTAACTGGATGCGTGACAACATGGGATGTTGATTAACTGGTGTAAGATGAAGATGTGCCTTAAGATGCAAATGGTATGACATTCAGTATTGATTGATGTATAGAGCAGTGGTCTCCAAACTTCTTTGATCGTGCACCCGTCAGTAAAAAATGTTTGAGCACGCACCCCCAATATATGTATATTTATAGAAATAGAAGTTCTAGTATTTTCTTCCCACACCCCAGTGGATCGTGGGGTGTGCACACCCCACTTTGCAGACCACTGGAATAGGGGGCCTTGGGAACCCCAAATACTTTGCACTGAGTTAGGGCTTATGTTTCACATTGGTACCATGTTTGTGAATAAGCTAACTAGCACCATGCCTGACTGGGCTCTGGATGTTAATGCCTATGCCTGTTTGTAAGCAAAAAACCTGGAAGAGTTGGTTTTGTTCGTTGGGTTTTTTTTTTTTTTTTACTGAGAACTGAAGCCTGGGGTCTCTTCATTACAAGTAAGGTCTTCAGGGTGGTAGCGTAGCATCACAGATGGTATGCCTTGATGGGGTACTGTGATGTGTACCGCATCACAGGTATACATCTATGATGTGTACTATGTACCTTGATGGTTCACCAGCCATCCAGACTGCATCTGATGTGGTTGGTACTATTTCACCCCAATGGAATCTGTTGCACCTGAAGGCTATTTGTGTACTGGTCCTGAATTAAAAAGAGTTCATGATACAGCAGGAACAGTATAGTTGGTTCTCTGGGGAAAAACTCCTAAGGAAATAAAAAACAACATCAACCCACTCACCTCAAACACGTATTTAAAACATAAGCTGTAAACTGGCTAGGTGTAGCCACTATATGGAGAAGGACCTCTTTTCAGTGCAGCTCAGGAATTGGGCATGAGCTAGCTTCTGCAAAGAGAGAGTAGGGATTTCCTATATAACTTTAGTGGGGTACTGTAGGCTTCCCAGGCACACACTAGAGTGGCACCCCCCCACCTGCAGTTTCTCTCTGCTATGGTTCTAGGATCATCTGAACAAGTTTTCTACCATTGCAATGTCCAAGGCATTGCTAAACCAAGGCACAGTGCAGGATTTTTTGTTTTTGTTAAAACCCCTACAGAGAGTGATTTATGACTGTGGTTGGGGAGCAACAGGGTTGAAATAGATGTTCTTGTGGATCCATTTGGAGAAATAATTGCCTGTGAATACAGCTACGGAAACCTTTCATTCTTATGCTTTTACTGTAAGGTAAACAAATGCTTTTAGGCAGTTACTGTGAAGAAGCTGGTGCACAATGAACTCACTTTTATAACTTGTGGGCATAGGCTCCCAGCTCACTAGAAAGCAGGACTGCTATAATTAGAGTATACATATAGGTGCCAAATCTGGAAAGTAGGCACAAATTACTGTAACATTTCAAGAACTATTTAATATTAAGGATATAAAAAGGGAACTACTGAATTAGTGCAACTAATAGTCTGCTGATGCCTTCTAAGAATACAGGAAAAGTTGCGACTAAACAAAAGGAGAGCAGGTTGAGGAATCTATTGGTATTAAAAATAGTGAATGTGAAGAGCCTGCTTTATGCAAGTCTTTCCCTTCTGTTGTGTTCTTTTCTGTTTTCTGCTTCCACAGAAGACCCAACTGCATGCCCAATGCAATGTCCCTTCTACCAAACTAAGCAGAGCTGAAGGAAACTGAATCAGCTACACAGTATCACAGTGAAGAAGTGAGCTAGGTTCTGGATCAGAAAGTGTCAGAGCTGATCCGCCAGCCCACAGATTCTGCTTATGGCTGACTAGACATATTCTTGTCCTTCCTTCCTTTCTTATGCCAGCTTCTCTCCAGTTGTATCAGAAGGAACAACAGCTGCTGTATGGCTGGGGCAAAAGCAACATGTGCTCCATGCCCCAAGCTGGAGTGGAGCCAGAGGAAAAGGAATGACAGGAGGGGGCAGAGGCAGCAAGGGGCAGCTTTGGGGGAGGGGAGAAGGTGCAGGGAAGGAAGGCAATGGGGGGCAGGCATGGTGGGGGGGGGCAAGTGGCAGAGGGGTAGGCAGGCAGGCACCTGGGGGACAGGCAGTGGGGGGTCAAGGGGCAGAAGTCATGCCACTTAAATCTCTCACTGCCTGTCCCTCTGCCACAGTGGTGGGGGAATGAATTTAAGATGACCCTCCAATAATGAGATTCTATACATGCACAATTTATAAATGTATTATAGTTTTCCATATATAGGATCTAATTATTAGAGAGTTGTCCTAAAATTCAGAGCTGTCTTGGATTCAGATAAATATGGTAGATTAAGAGGACCACACCTTGAGAGAAATATTCTACTCCCTCCTCACCCAACTCAGTTTCAGAAGCAAGCTGCTGGGTGATGAACACACACCAAATGGAATTTTGCAAATGCAAAACCTGACAATAAAAGGCACACCACTACAACCACATTGCTACAACAGTGACCCTGCCCCACAATAAAACCATCAGAACCAATCGCATCCATCACAGAATGTGATCACCATCAAATGTAACAAATGTAGTTATGGAAACTGGGTGAACCCACTGTACTTCAGAATGAGCTTTCACAAATGATGAAATACAGAGGCTGCAGATAGGTGTGCATTTGTAGCAGTAAAAGAACATAGTGCTAGAAATAGTGTACATGTATTCACAGCTTCCTGGCTAAAGTGCTCCAAAGTCACTGCAAAGGCATACTCTCCAGGCAGGGGGTTCTCCTATGCCTCCCATCACCCCCAGGGAAGCCTGATTACCGACAGCCTGTTCTCTCCCCTGCTGGAGAAGGGAGATCACCAGGCAAGCTGTCAACTGATTGGTGGGAAAACCTGCTGCTGCCCAATGGTTCAGAGCAGCAGCAGGTTCTTTTCACTACCCATTTGTGGCAGCAGGCATAGGTAGGTCTAGGAATTTGAGAAAGGGGGTACAGGAGATGCCACTGGTGCTGTAGGTGAGATTGCAGCTCCCTTCCCCCACCCCTGCAGGTGGACTATGCCATGTCAGCTGCTCCTAGGGATTTAAGTCACAAAAGCAGGTCAGACTTCTCCCCCCCCCACACCCCAGTCAGTAGTCACCTCTTTGCCTCCCATCCCCCCCCAACCCACTCCACCAGGGGTTGTCTCTGAGCACCCACTGCTGCTGTCCTCACCTGACCCAGAGTGGGGGAGCCCCAGGGCTGCTCTTGCCTTGCTCCAGCTGGGGGCTTCAATAAGAGGCAGCATGGGGTGCTAGGTTGGCCAGGGATAGTAGCAGCAGAGATGGGCAGATCCCCTGCTCCTAGACCATAGCAGACACCTGGGGAGCAGGCATGAAGCTGGAGCACCTGGAAGTCCACTGCCGCTGCTGCCCCAGCTGACTAAGGAATAGGAGGCTCATGTCCCACTCCAGCCAGGGACTGCAGGGAGCAGCTGCACGAGGGCTTCTCCCAAACTAGTAGAGGGAGTACAGCTGCTCCCTGTAGCCCTTGGCTGGAACAGGGCATGAGTGGTCCTGGGTCCTTCCCTGATTCCAGGTCAGCTGGGGACAGCAGCAGTAGAAGGGTCCCCTCTTCCTCACCTGCTCCTCACTTGGTCTCCCAGGTGTCCCACTGCAGTCCAGGGCTCTAGCTGTGCCTCAACACCATGGGGGACCCAAGCATCCGAGGCCAGAAGGAAATGGAGCTGCTGGCACATGATCTGCAATGTGGAAGGGGGGTTGTGACCAGGCTACTGCACCCCTCCTGGATCTTCCCCTAGCAGCAGATGGCCCCACTAGGACAGCAACAGCCCCTTCCTCCCACCACCCAAAGCCCAGGCAGCACTCAGGGACTCTCACCCCTACTCCCCCTCCTACCATCTTTGAAGTGGGATGCTGGGGGACACTTTGATGACACATGCAGAGTGCATCTACATGTGGCCGTATGGCACCTTTGTTACTGTGCTGCCATTTAGTACTTCCTTCAGAAGCACTAAAAGATGGCACAGTAAAAGCCTGTACTTGCCTTGTCAGCCAGGCAGTTATTTTTGGCTGCTATGTTGCTATAGCAATGCACTATAATGAGGAAGCATGTTGCTACAGCGCCGTAGTTGCGGCATCGCCGTTTCTGCCAACACATGCTACGGTGCTGCCACAGCATCTTGTATAGATGTGCCCACAGTGCTACAAAACATAGCTCTACAGGGAAACTCCTGTTTCAGACAACAACATTCCTGTAGTGTCTCCATTATTTCAGTACTGATATGTAGCAGCAGTGCTGGAAGCAGGGCTACGCAGGGCGCTAATTCACTGTAGCCCCCCTTCTAGCAAGGCTGTCTCCTGCCAAGAGGAGCCTGGTGCCGCCCACGCAGATCCAGGGGTACACGCTCCCCCCACCATGCCCTCTGGGAGTGCATACAGCAGCAGGAACCACCAAGTCCCCGGAGAAGCCGCTCGCAGCTCCAACCTGTGTCCTGCCCTGGCTGGGCAGCATCTACCCTGTCCCAACCCCACTCCCTGCCTCACTGTGGGGGACTGAATCTACCCCCATCATGCTCCTTCCCTCCCCCCACAACAGACTTACCTGCCGGGCTGTGCTCCTAGCTGGCTGCATGTGTGCATGGGGGCATTTATTGGTGATATCATCAGCCACATCAGCCAAAAAAAGCCAATTGCCAATACTGTCAGTTTTCCTTATACTGGTGCCAAACTGATATGGGACCAATGTATCGGTGCACCTCTACTTTTAACCTTGTATTTGGCTTAGGCTGTATCTGCTTCTTTCCCAAAAAACTTGCCTGACATTTCTCTCAATTATGTAGTTGGTCTAATAAAATATATTACTAAACAAAGCTTGCTTCTCACTTAAATTTCAACACGATTAATCCCTTCTTCCTCAGTAAATCTAATCTATTTTTTTAGCAATTGACATTTTGGTCAAGTTCATTTTGTATACCTACTTTTCCAATTTCAAAATATTTGCTTTGTGTGTCCTATTCACATTTTCAAACTCTGGCCCGAGTCTGAATAATTGCCATAGGTCTAACCTGAGACTCTGTACTTAGTCTCAAACCTTGTTTAACTTTATAGTGATGTACAGTGGCAGGGTCATATTAATGCCTTTTACTCCACCTATAACTTATTAGGACAACAGAAACATGAACATTTCCTAGTGAAATGCAAGCATATGCATAAACCCGTTGCAGTCATTTACACAGCTACTTTTCCTCTTAGGTCTCATTTCAATGTGCAGTTTTTTCCAATTGATTTCTTCTGTGGACACATTCTGGAACAACAGTGACATCTTTAGATGAATTAAGATGATCTAAATGATGACACACTTCCCTCTGGGAGCAGTTTTTTGGCAAGCCCTGAGCAACCCCACCCCCACCTTTACTCCACTGTATTTTCTTGCTATATTATAAAGAATTAGTAAGTAGAGAATATAGAAAGAGTTCTCTTGAGCAAATCAGAAAAAACTGTCAGTACTTTCAGAACATTTTGCCCATTTAAAGCATGGACGACATCCTGCTAGCTCAACCTAAACACCCCATTACAAGCAGGCTAACAACAGCTTTCTCCACTAGGAACAGGAATTATACTACTTGAGGTAGGACTGAGTAGGTCCACTAGTGGTGAATAGCACTGTGCAAATACCTGAGGAATCATGTCAAAGCTCAAGCATAGTGGAAATATTTTACTTAAATCATAATTCACTTTGTATTTATACATGAGAAATACTTCATTCTAACCAAGGTGGTGGTAAATTAAGCCATCATCCATTTAAGTGGCTGCGCAGCAGCAATATTTATGCTCCCTCTTGTTTCTGGACTGGGGTAAAGCAGTCAGGAACAGACCAACTTTCAATACGAATATTTTAGTCAACCTCCAGAAGAATCAGGTTTTGAAAATACTATGTCAAATATTTCTTTATAGTGTTCAACAAAATGCACTTCTAGTCCCTCTGTAATGAAGTCAGCAAGGTCATAGTAGTCCTTCTTGTTCTCTGATGGAAGAATGATGCAGGTAACACCAGCTCTCTTGGCCTAGGGAGGAAAAAAACATTATCTGGACTGTGGCAGAAAGTGTGTTTAGCAGTCAAATTTTCACTTACGTTTTGAGGTTCATCTCAAAAATTGCATGTCCTCTTGCCTGTGGCACAATTTTGGTTTGTAGTGAGAAAAGTGAGGATGTGTGAGGACCCCTGCTACAGTGAAAGGCATGGATGGTATTAAGAGGCTGCTGTTGTCAGTGGCTAGGTAGACTATCAATTTTAACCCACTACTAAATGGAAATCAATATTACCTTCAGGGAAAAAAACTGGCTAATCTCCTTGTAAAACCATAATACCCACACAATCTTCTGGATGTCACTCAATGCGGACACTCTCTCCACTAATTCTTGGTTAAAACATTACAGAAAGTAAGGCAAAAGGCAGGACAGGGTGGCACCTCAGAGACTAACTCATTCAGAAAGACATGCGCTTCTGTAGGCAACAACCTACTACTTTGGATGTTATGAAACTTACACCTTTCTGAACAAGTTAGTCTTTAAGGTGCCATATTTTCCTAACTTTTGCCTGACTTCAGACCAACATGGCTTAACTACAACTCTCTCAAACAGAAAGTAACAATTAGTGACATACTGGAACAGATTATATAGCACAATATAGAACTAGAGATTATAAAATAGTTCAGAGATGTTAGAAGAGTGGAAAAAAGTCTGAATTAGTAATCTACTCAGATACTTTCAGTCTATAAGGAAGATGATGCTAAAATATTGCAAGTGAACCACTGACTGGTTGTGTGACTGATGTGAAGTTCAAGATCTGGTTTTGATGAGCACTGGGTCACAGTGGAAAAGGACACTGTCCTAACAGGATAGCTGTCTTCTCGCAGATAAAGGAGCTAATCTCCTCTGGTGAAACTTGCTGACAGTGAGGAGAATGATAAGCAGCGATAAAAGATGTGTCAAATATGAAGTTGCAACAAATTCAGTATGTCAGGAACAAGGTGAAGAGTGATGACAAAGAGCATGAAAAGCTTTTCAATTGCTCTATATTAATTTTAGGGGCTGCATAACAAAGAGAAAAAATGAAAATGCAGGAGAAAAAATGATATAACTGGTATAATTAAAATCTGATGTAGGCTTCATAATGGAGTTAACATGCTCAGGAATGGCAGAGTGGGAAAGAAAGGAGTGTGTGGGGTGGCACTTGACATTAGCAGCCCAGTTTAGTTACCCCTTTTTAATAAACAATAACTCATTCAGTTATGTGATAACAAACTTCTTCAAAACAATCACTTCAAATCTAAAACAAGCTTGATTCAAGTGACCATGAGTTTAAAACGTAAATTCCTAAATAAGGTTTTGTGTTTCAAAAGAACCAACTTTATAAACAAAAGGAAGCAAATGGTGATATTGACTGGACTGTGGACCACAGACATTTAGTTATATAGTTTCATAGTTGGTAGGGTCAAAAGGGACCTAAGCAGATCATTGAGTCTGACCCCCTGCCATGGGCAGGAAAGGATGCTGGGGTCAAACGACCCCAGCTAGGTGATTATCTAACTTCCTTTTGAAGACCCTCAGGGTAGGAGCAAGCACCATTTCCCTTGCAAATTGGTTCCAGATCCTAGCCACCCTGACAGTGAAGTAGTGCCTCCTGATGTCTAGCGTGAATCTACTCTCAGTCAACTTATGGCCACTGTTCCTTGTTACTCAGGGGAACAATGCTCAGGGGAAGAGGGACTCTCCCAATGCTTGCTGGTCCCCCTTGGCAAGTTTATAGACGGCCACCAGATCCCCTCTCAGCCTTCTCTTGTGGGGGCTGAACAAGTTCAGGTCCCATAGCCTCCCCTCGTAGGGCCTGCCCTGCTGCCCCAATCATGCGGGTGGCCCTCCTCTGGACCCTCTCAATGCTGTCCACATCCCTTTTGAAGTGCGGCACCCAGAACTGGACGCAGTACTCCAACTGTGGCCTGACCAATGTCGCATAGAGGGGGAGGATAACCTCCTTGGACCTACTCGTGATGTATCTATGGATGCATGACAAGGTGCGGTTAGCCTTACTGACTGTGTCCTCACATTGGCAGCCCATGTTCATCCTGGAATCAATAGTAACTCCAAGATCCTTTTCTGCCACTGTGCTGACAAGAAGGGAGTTCCCCAGCCTGCAGGTATGCTGCTGGTTCTTTCTCCCCAGGTGTAACACCTTGCACTTGTTCGTATTGAAACCCATCTTATTCTCATCCTCCCACCTCTGTATCCTGTCCAGACCTAGTTGTACCCTGTCCCTCTCTTCTAGCACACTCACTTCTCCCCACATCTTAGTATCATCTGCGAACGTGAACAAGGTGCTTTTCACCCCCGTGTCCGAGTCGCCAATGAAGACATTGAACAGTGGGGGCCTGAGGACCAAACCCTGGGGGACCCCACTGCCCACGTCCCTGCAGGTCAAAAATGACCCGTCCACCACCACTCTCTGGGTGTGGCCCTCCAGCCAATTTGCGACCCACCTGACACCACAGGCATTGACACCACAGTTGCCTAATTTTTTAATGAGGATGGGGTGTGAGACAGTGTTGAAGGCCTTCCTAAAGTCCAAAAAGACTATGTCCACCGCAACACCTGCGTCCAAGGCTTTTGTGACCTGGCCGTAGAAGGCAACCAAATTGGTCTAACAGGACCTGCCTCTAATGAACCCATGTTGATTGCCCCTAAGTATAATCTCCCCTGCTGGTCCCTTGCACTTGTATGGACTTAAGTACTTGAATTCTTCCCTACAAAAGGAGAAGAAATAGAAACCTAATTGAAAAAAAGGCTTTCAGAGGTGAAGAATTATTGGGATAGAATTGAGAGTTACCAAAAGTCAATCAGTGTTATACTCTATAAAGTACAGTTAAAAACAGGTAAAAGCGCTTTTTCAGCTTTGCAGAAAGAACAAAAAAATAAGTGGGACTGCTGTGTAGCAAGGCTGAGGCTAAGACTTGGTAGAGATGGCCAAGGAACTTTCCTCTCCGTTTTCAAAAAGGCTGATGATGTTGACTATGGGGTACAGAGGCAAGATGGATGATGAGAACAACAATATAGGTGGGAAAATTACTACAACTGAGCTGGAAGGAAACCCCAAAAGATCTTCATACAATTAAGTCACGTTGTACAGGATAGTTTTCAACTCAAGATTCAGAAATAGCTGGCACATGAAATCACAGGTTTGACAACAAGAATTATTAATTTCTGAAGCAGGGAGTAATAGAACATGACTGAGAACATCAAGTGTAGTAGTTACATTTAAGGAATGGGGACATAATTCAGGCAATGACACATCTGACCTCACTGGTCTCCAAAGGACTCGAAACAAATTTTAAAGAAAATGAAGACATGGAGGTAAATGAAACATGGGATGAATTACAATCTAATGAAGTTAGATACCAGGAAAGTCTGGCCTAACTTCTCTCTGAAAAACAATTTCCTAGACAAAGGAAACAAAGCAGACTTAAGCAAAACATTTGATATGGACCCCTGGCAGATGTTACATTCACAGGACAAGCTATCCAGAGGGGAAAAAACTGCCCTGGGAATTTGCTCTGCCAGCACCTGCCAGCAAGGGCAGCCAGAGAGCTGCTGGCAGGGGCTATTTCCTTTCCTACACCTTCAGTTGGACCACTAATGAGAAGTGAGCTCTGCGCTTCCCTTGAAGAAGTGAGCTGCTCCCTAAATCCTTGCGCAGAACGATGGAGATCTGTGTGAAGGGTGGGAGAAGGAGGTGCGGTGAGGGCGTGCAGGGCAGGAGTGGTGGAATTCAAATTCTCCCGAAACACCTTAAGAGGTAGGTGCTTCTGCATGTGTTTTTCCTTTCTATCCATCTTGTCCCTGGCAGCAGCTTTCCAAACAAATTCTCTCCCCCTCTGTCAGATACCTATTGTGTGTAGGTAAAGCATGTCACCTTGACATGTTAAGTGTGTGTTTACACTTTACTTCTCATAGGTAATGCTGCATACAGAGATAATCCCAGGTACTAACAGGCTCTGGAAGTTGAAACCAAATTCAAGAAAGAAATAAGGCACATGCTTTTAACATTGATAGCGATTAACCAGTGGAACAAAACTGTGAAGCAGCAGTGGATTTTCCATCTTTTGATATCTTCACATGTTTTTCTGGAAGACTTATTTTAACTAGACACAATTTATTCACTGATTACGGAGGTAACTGTGAATTTTAAAGAGGACACAATATACGACAATCTTCAACCAAGGGTACTAAAGGAATTGGCTGATGACATAGCAGAACCACTGGCAGGATTGTTTGAGCACTCCTGGCACTTGGGACAGGTCCCAGAGGACTGGAAAAGGGCCAATGTGGTCCCTATCTTCAAGAAGGGGAGGAAGGAGGACCTGGGTAATTATAGCCCAGTCAGCCTCACCTCTATTCTCAGCATGACCCTAGAAAAAATCATAAAGGATCAAATTTGCAGGGGCCCAGGGGGTAACACAATGTTAAGGGGCAACCAGCATGGGTTTATAGCAGGCAGATCCTGCCTGACTAGCCTGGTCTCTTTTTATGACCAGGTCACAAAGTGCTTAGATGCAGGAGTGGAAGTAGATACTATTTACCTGGATTTTAAAAAGGCTTTGTCACAGTGTCACACCCAATTCTTAGAGCAAACTGAGTAGCTGCGATGTGGATTTTTTCAAAGTAAGGTGGGTGAAAAACTGGATTATGGTATGCACCCAAAGAGTGGTGGTGGATGGCCCAG